GGGGCGGCCCACCGCGGTCCGGGAGGGGGAGGGAGGCAAACGCGAAAGGGGAAGGAAAAGGAAGAAGGGTGGCTGGTAGGTGCAAGGCCAATCGATATGCCCAGCCAGCCAGCCTACTGCTCCAGCGCACCCGGCCCGACCGCGCCAGCAAAGGCTACGTGGTCGCGACACTAATCTCCATTTCGAACTGACTCCAATATGGATTAGAAAGACCCGCCGTCCCCGTTCATTCGTTAATTTTTCGAGGGTTTTGAAGCGTTTGCCACCGAAGTGAGCTCAGCTTATACCAAAGAAACCCCACAACTCTTTTCTCTTTTGCACCCTAAAGTGCGAGAGAGTCGTCGCTGCAATGCTTCAAACTGGCCTCCACATATCAAATCTTTTACTACGACCCATAAAAGCAGACAAGAGGCACTCCAGTCGACGGTCCAGTCCCAGCACGGCCAGTCGAGTCGGGACTAGAGAGCAGTGAAAATCGACACAGGGGGAGAGGGGAAAGGAAAAGGGAGGGGCTCACCCCAATTAGTGTCCCTTGCGCTACGCAGAAAACGGCCGAAAACCCCGCGACACGGCAAAAACCCCAAGACCCACCGACTTTCCCCGATTAAATCGAAGTTTCCGGGAATAGTGAGAGCAGGCCATTCCCTCCGAGGTCCAGAGCCCCTGTCCCGGGACGACACCGAGCCGACCGGCTTTTCCCGCGCGAGTCGCAGAAAAATAAACGCAATACCGTAATCTCCCAGAGCTTATCTTCTTCCCCAGCGGGAGGCGTGCGGGCACGGCGCCCTTAGTGAAGAGAAAAACATTTAGTTTGCTCTTTTTATTATTACGTATTTTAAACTGAGAATGCCTACCCCATGCAGACTAGTTTCATGCTAGCGACTACCGGGACCGACCGAGGGTGCGTTGAACGGGTCCAGGTACTCGGAAAGCTCCAAGGCGCGTGATACCCAAGACAGACTTGCCTACAATTCGCTTCGCGAGGAAACGACAAAGCGTCTCGCGGTCCTAACTGGTGTCGGATTCACCCGGCCTGACCGCCGCTGACGGG